ACCCTAGTAGTTGGCAAGTCTGTAGGAGTAACAAAGTGGAGTCTATTTCCCATGTTCTAGACTTTATCAAAATCTGAAACACTATTCTGGTCCAGGTAAAACTTGACATGAATATGAATTTTAAGACATCATTTTATTTTTAAGATAGCATGACAGATTCTCTAAGGCGTATAAGTACTATCAGATTTATTGACTGTAACACTTCATCCTACACAGCCAATGCCCCACAGTTGTTCACTAATTGAACCTATTAGCCCCCTTATGCCAGCAACAGGAATCCCCATATCTGGGGCCTCTTCTATTATACTGATTTCCCATTTCCCAAAACTACAAATACATTTTACACCATTCGTGGTGGTGTTTAATCCTGAAATGAGTTGATTTGTATGTTCTTTTCCTCATGTTGAAGCTTACTCTATAAAATACAGGCTTCAAAGTTATGTTACGAACAAAGATTTAATATTTCAGATGATTTTTGTATAACTGAAATAAAAGGTATGTAAAAAGTGGAATTTTAATATGAAGTTTGTTTGTCCAGCCAATTAGTACATAATAATAATCTTGTATTGAAGAAAATGGTTTGGCTTCCTAAAATTGTTCATCAAACCAAAATTACCTCTAATACAAGACATGAACAATATTGTTGGAAAGAAAATAGGCATAAATTTCTTAGATTTTTCCCTTTATCAATTCAACTTATGATTCAATATATATCTTATAGGAATGTTGAAAATGTAAATTGACCAGGTTAAACTTTGCTATAATTAGTAGTGTTCTCCATTAAGTAAAAATACATGTGAAATAATGTTTACCCAAATAAATAGTAGAATTTGAGTTCAAAATATGATGATACAAATATTTTAGGCAGTGGTGAATTACTCTAATGAATACTTTATCATGCAGAAGATAACCAATTTTTGAACCAACTGAAAACCATTTACTCAATTCATATGTTAGCGTAAAAGACTTCAACAGGACTTTAAAGTGAGGCACCTTACAAGACTAATGTCTACACTTTTAGCTGTCAAGAAAAAACACAAAGGAATGGTTGTAATTTTCTTGCTTGAATTTCTTATTTGAAGCATCATTGTGACACCTTTAAATTATTAAGGATATTTTTTTCAAACATATTGTGAAGTAACTGATGCATGATAAATATTAGCACTAGGAAAAAGTATAAGATCAAACTACTACAAAGTAATTAATGGAGATTTGGAGTTATTAAGCAAAGGATGAAAACCACTTTTCATAATTTAACATAAATATAAATATATTTATTATGAGTAAAGGCTTAAATTATATTATTAATTAATTATTAAATAATTATAATGAAGACTTATCGCCTACCTTATTGTTTCTCTTTAGTCTATCCTAGTTTCCTTTCCTTTGTTCTCACGTGCTTAGAACGAGGCTCAAACCACAAATACACTTATTTCATTTTATCACTAAGACCATCCAAAGCACTATAATGAAGTGTCGATCAGCCTTGAGATTTCTCTTGCCCAATCGCCATCTTGGGTAGGTCCAAACATTATTAGCATCAATTATAAATGGAGCTGGTTCTTGATTAATTCTCATCACACAATTTACAAGCCAAGTCAACCCCCTCTGTCTTTCTCCCCATCTTAGTAGACACTAGGATCTCAAATTAAAAATAGCCACAATCATGCACAATAGTTCGAGCTCATAAAGGAGATTCTAACTTTTGATAGTGCATTTTTCCATTTTCAATTATAATATCCTTCTAGAATTTGATGAATGATAATTTTCATTGATAGCTGTGAAACTTTGTCCTATTTGTAGTATTTTACAAAAAAAATGCCTTTTAATCTGTGCCATCTAGTATTCTATCTTATGTTGTTCAAGCAACATCAGATGCATCCAAGCTTAAAGCTATTAACAAACAATTATCATCCAGCGAGATTTCATGAACCCAATTTCCTGTCAACTGAATACAGCGAAGTCTACTGTTGTAAGCTTGTAACCGCCTGTAGAAAAAAGCATATAACATAAATGACATAATATTTAACAAGCTTTTCCAAAATCAAAATATTTCCAGAATTTCCATGCAGATTATCAGAAAAATAATGAATTTTTTTCCTGAAGAGCCTGCATCTAAGATAATAGAACTTACTCAGTAGCAGAATGCATTTTACGAAACGGAGCAGCATCAGGATTACATGATTTATGCAGAGGATATAAAAAATAATGATATTTCTTGAGTATATGATGTAATAGGCAAGCTACCCAACTACTGAGTAGAAAAATGTTTCGTTTAAAGTAAATAACTTTAATCATACTTTAATTTAAATTTCCAATAATTATTTATTATTTTAGTACATATTGGCCAACTAGGAATCTCTCGAAACTGGCAATTTTTTTGGTGTGAGACGAAGACTTTTACAGCAGGATTCAAGTGGCACACACTGTCGACTATTCTAAAATGAAGTAACGAAATAAAATTCGTCCCCTGCGCTTGTTTCCTGGCATTTAGTGGGTAATACTTAACATTACAAATATCTATCGGCAAAAAGGAGTATGGTTCTTAACAATCATGCTCATCGTTACAAGTATTCTAAATAACATTAGCTTATTATTGACGAGGGTTCGGAATAGGGTTGTTACTTTGAGGGCAAGATCCTGCAGTGTTACGCACAACTTTCCCACCTTAAGCGCAAGTCCTCCCAAGCTACTCCTCTTCAAGACGAGTAGGTCCTCGCCCAGGCTGTTTACAGCTGTACGATGGAGACCGAACGGTCTTCTTCCGAACGCAAAGGATAAATGAGTTTGGCAAATTAGGCAGGAACGCCGTTAACTCTCTCCTCGGTAGTAATTGGAGAAAGATGTAGAGAAGGCGACTCTCAGCTCACCATCTCCCCGCACCCCGCATGGCCTAACGCCGGCGGCAAGTTCTGCCCAGAACCATGCCAGGTTCTCACACCCGCCGCCCCCAGCTCTCTCTCTCTCTCTCTCTCTCTCTCTAATATCCTCTGGTGGGAGTCTTTGAAGCCGTTTGTACAGTCAACTTCTGAGATTGATGTTCGGTAACGTTCCATGCTGCCGTTGGGGGAGCAAGCTGAACACAGTCTGCTGTGTGAAAAACTGGAAAGCCAGTCATTGACGTCAACGTTGGAAGTGAAAGATATATGGGCAAAAAGCTCACTCGAAAGCTGAAATTTATGTTCATCACTCATCCCCCCACCTTTATAGGCACGTTTTTTGATGACGCGTTAGGCAGTCGTAATCTTTTATTAAATTATACTCTAACATATATTTACCTCTTGCGTCTTACTTTTCAAGCTTTGACTGTCTTTCTTTCGATGGGAATCTGCATCTATATATCTGAGATCCCGTTTCCTGTCTGTGCTCTTCTCTTCGTACTATGTCCGCGTATATCACATCAGTATTCGGCGAACGGAGTTGCAAATGACAGACCAGTCTCTTGTTCTTAAAAGATTGTAGATGAATGACTGAAATCCTTGGTCATGTAAATGCGTTTGACGAGCCAAACTCGTCAAGAACGGTCGGTCAGAATGATAGGGGCAATCCCCCCCACGAGTAGTTGACTTTGACGAACGGATTTGAACGCGAAGAATTGAATAATTGAGAAGACTGTTAGAGCCACACGTACTGTTTGTCGTGTTCGAATTGTTACTCTCCATTTTTCATAAAAAGATGAGTTTGTAAGAATGTCACATCCCAGACATATTGGAGCATATATAAAAATTTATAGTAAATCTATTAATTTATTGTATTAATAACACACATTTTCATGCCCACGTAAAGGGTGTCAACAACACCTCTCAGGGATCTACCTTCCTTTTGTAGGTTGACATAAATTTTCGGATAGAGAAACTTTTTGCCACGTGTCCCTCATAACCAATAGAAGAAAAAAATCACTATTTTTTTTGCTGGTACCTTCTCGTCCTTCACGTTGCTCGTAGATATGAACAAATTTGCAAGGAGAAGAAGAAAATTTATCAGACTTTTTTAAACCTTCCTTCGTATGCCCCCATTGGCGTCTAAGCAATTTGGATGGAATTTTACTTTATTCCAGATCCTTGCCTTAGCCTCTGTTGTAGGACGTTTATTCCTCGTTTACATTCCATTCGCTGGCATCTTGCGAACCCCCCCCCCCCCCCCGGGTCTTCCTGCAGGACGACGGGATACAAGACGTGCGACCCACGCGTTAGGTTTCCATCAAGTCCGCTGTATGAGATAGGTTGATAGATGGATACACGACAGGAAGTGATGGGATCTATAGCGAGAGGAGAGAGAGAGAGATAGAGAGAGCGAAGAGGGACGTAGCGACGGAGGGAACCAAACAAGTTAGGCGACTATTGACCTGTGCTTTCAGAAGCGATGAATTATTCCGCTGAATAGAGAAAAGCTTTAGGAGCCGAAGGTCTACGGGCTGCACAACTATGCTCGGGCTTCCGCTGGTCATCAAAGTCGCAAATGGCCAGTTATATTAGCTTCTGTGATTTTTGCTACTTTTGAATAATTTAAGTAATCTGATCAAATATTCCACAGCTTATTCTCTCTGCAAACATGCTGAATTTAAACCTGTAGAATGGTCGTGAATGAATCATACTTTTGAGCGACTACATCCTAACCTGAGAGTGTAACTGTTAGTCAAGTGATTACTCGATCACTACAATCTTTAGGAAAAGAAGAGTCACGGAACGCTGTGTCAGCAAGGGACTAGACCTAAAGCTTCGTGCCATTTAGAACCAATCAATGGCAATCTCTGAGTCGCACGTGTCCCAGGTTTGACACATGCGATCCGACGGTGGCAACGAGGCGCGAAGAGTAACTATGATCGTCAACTCCGGGGGCTAGAACGGCGACCAATCTTCTTGCCGACGAGAAGACTGCAACTTCTATTCGTTCAACGAAAACCATTTATAAATACACTCATCATCCCCTTCCTCTTCCAGCCAAGCCCTCTCGCATACATTTCGTCGTCTGAATTCGTCCACTGAGCAAATGCCGTGAAGATGGGTAGAGTCCACTTCTTTCTCTTGGTCTCTTTGCTACTCGGCAAGGTTATGTCTGCGGCACCTCCCACCTTCACCCTGCCCAAAGTTGGCGAACGGAATAAAGTATGGGGAAGCGAGGAGATCCAAGAGAGGCTCCCCCTCCGGCGGCTCAGCCATCATAACCCTCGGACTACCATGACCTGCGATAGGGTCCCGAAGGTGTGCCGGGCTAAGGGCAGCCCCGGTCGTGACTGCTGCCGGAAGCTTTGCGTAAACCTCAGGACGGACACTCAGAACTGCGGATGCTGCGGGAAAAAGTGCAGGTACGCGGAGGCCTGCTGCCGAGGGAAGTGCGTCAACATCCTTTCCAGCCGGGCAAATTGTGGCGCCTGCCACCGGCGGTGCAGGAAGGGTAGCTACTGTCGGTTTGGCATGTGTGGCTACGCTTAGATGTCTCTCCGCCAGTTCGTTCCTTTGGAAAACCTGTCATGGTTTCTTCGAGGAAAATCTTCGAATTCTATTTTCTGTTGATTCAATCGGCCAAAGAGTTTGCAATTTATTTTCTTGTGTGAAAAGGTTGACGTACCCCATATTTGTAGTAAATCAATTGTGAAATACTATTGTTATTCTGTGAAGTTAAACTAGGTAAACGAGCATAAAATACAGTGGAGAGTAGTAGTCTTCTACTCCTAAACAATCTAGCTTTTAAGGGATTACGTACGTCCAAGTAAAAAGGGATAGCAAGCTTTCAAATACTTCATCCCATCCCTGTAGGAACACTGATCAAACTTCCTTCCACCTAATACATGCACAAACTATATATGATATTATCAACGCCTGTATCATTTTTATCATAAAACTATGTAACATAAATCTATTTACCTCTGGAATTTGATGCTCAAGTATATTAAGTAATCACTCTTAATTTCATTATATTATTACAGTTAATTCTGATTTTTTGCTAAAAATCATAATGAAAGCATATTTTTCACCACTGTCTAATGCTTGGTTTTCTGCTTTGCGAATTTTATGCAAATCAGATTAAGATGTTAGATGGCTATAGTATACTCGGAATCACTCTTAATGTCATTAGATTATTAGCATTAATTACGAACTTTTAAAAAATCATAATTAAAGCATATATTGCACTACTTTCTAACGACTGTTTTGCTGATTTTTAGTAAATTTTTGAAAGTTTTGACAAGTTCATCTTCACTAAACTTTTTTCAGAAGTTCCCCAGCAAAGCCAGACTAAAATCATGTGGTACGTATCAACATATTAATGAATGATAGATACATATCATGAATGATATGAACTGTGTAATTTACAAGGAACTTACAATCACAACTTGGACTTACAGGTCACACAGCACATAAAAACATATTAAAAGAATGAGAAATCAAATAATAGCATTACAACTTTCAGTTGTTCAGTCAAACTTGGACTTTTTACACCAAAACTCCACCTTTGGAATTCCCCTTGGACAAAACTATTGGCAAGTTTATTTTTTTTGTTTTGACAAAACATTTCTGAGGTTGCCAAACTTTATAATAGAAGGTTTAATCATATATCAATGAAAATATATCATTAAAAATATCTTCCAAGCTGCCTAATAATGTATAAAAATGTTTCATGGACTTATGGAGCTTTATAAATTTTTCTACAAAGCTCGAACACCAAAAAAGTGATTGAAGTTATGTCTCACAACAAAGAGAGAGAAGGACAAATCATTGAATATCAGTAAACTTACCATTAGCATTACAAAATTTATCAATAAGCATTATAAACATCTTCACATTCTATTTTACTTTTTAGTTCCTTCTGAAAAAAAACTGAATAAATTTATGATTTGTTGGGACTCAGATCAACAAACCTCTTTGTTGCACATACAGGCCTTCTCTATGTTTTTGTTCATATCAGTCATAAACAATCATCTAACAAGGAGTGCCATGTTAAAATTTAAGTTCTAACTCAAGAAAAAGTCAATCATGCATAACCACCAGTTTTTTTCCTACACTTGTGACACACAAAAAATCCTAATGTACTTCAATTTTAGTTCCTACAATCCCATTTTTTTCAGTGTAGATGTCACAATCAATGAACACTAACTCTAGTTACCTATAAGTATACCTTGATAGAAAGACTTTGATCTCACCAGAAATCACGTAATGAAACCCCTTTTCTTTCTCTTTCTGCCCCTTATTCAACAACTCGCTCTCTATGTCTCTTGATCTATCTATATTGTTAGGTTTAATCCTTTAACAATTTTTAATTAATATTTTAGTAATTAAATGAAATATTATTTGACAATATGTCTCACTACACTAACAAAAGAATCAAGATCTAAAGTATTAGATTTAGTTTAATTTTTTGTGTAAATATATTTTAAATTATCATACAAAGAAAATAAATGTCAATTGACGCCTATGTAAACAAGCACATAAGTATGAATTAAATAAAATCAAAATAAAAAAAGCTTTACAATGAAAATAAGAGGAGAGAAAAAAAAAATGTGAACCCATTAAAGATTATGGATGCACTTGAAGAAAGAATCTATGTTAATGTTTAATTTTTAGGTCTTAATTTGTTTCATTTAAGTAGTTTACTATTTTAATTATTGGAAGAAAATATAGTTTGATATAGTTAATTTCAAATGTTAGAACTTAAAAGAGTTAATATATTTCTTATTTATAAAAATTATTTCTTATTTTTTATATTAAATATTTTATTTTATTTTATTATAACACGCTACAGACAACAATCCCCATGGCCAATGGCTTGAACCTAGTTTGGGGACATGTCAGAGGGAGAAGGAAGTATTATAATATATTTGTGACATATCTATTTGAAAAATTGATGTGGAACTAAACTTTATTTCCATGTGTAAAGGCTCTAGTTCGTGACTAGCGAATCTTATGGTGCTTAGTGTGAGACATCACTAGATAAGGCTAATCTTGCGACAAGTGAAGCACTATGATACTCAAAGCTTAAAGCGTTCATATGACAGCAATTCACAATAGATGATCCTATGTCGATCAACATGTCATGTGACTAGAGACAGCTAATATAGTGGCAAACAAAGTGCCATGATATTGGATGCTTAAGTGTCTGGTTGGTAGTGACTTGTGACAAGTTAATCTTGTGATGTTCAACACATCACATGGCCAAATAAACTTGATCCAGCAGCAAGTAAAGCTCAACAATATGGGGAACTTAAGTTTTTACATGTATTGACATCAGAGGTATAAAAATAATTCTTGATTTATGTTACATAAAATAAACATTATTGATTATCTTTAAAATCTCACCTGCAGCCACAAATATGACATCCATTTCTTCTTCTCCTTTGTGCAATCAATACCTCTAGTGATCAGCGAGCTCGCTCCTTCCTCCCCTAACTACGCATAAAGCCTCCTACGAATATCCAGCTCTTTCTTTCTCCTCCCAGCTGATAGTAATAACATGGTTGACCCTTTTAGATTATACTTCTATAATTTCTAGCATGACATGGTGACACAACACCTTGAGACAATACTCCTATGATTTTTGACATGGTGTGGCATGTACAAATGAAACCAAGCCACTACATGGATGTTTCCAGTTGTTCAAGAGATAGACTAATATTGGGTACTATTTATTTTTTTGTCATTTACTTATTGACGTGACTCAGTCGTTGTATGTTAAATCACGCAAATTTAAAATTTATAAAACTAGAAAATACGAATTTTCGGATATTTAGAAGTATTTCAAAATAAATAGATCAATTATAATTCAATACAAATCCCAAAAATAGTGGTAATTTTCCAGGTCGATCACAGGGATGTAATATAATATCTGGTAATTATTCAGAATTTTTCTCAATGACTACGATTTTCTTACGAATTTTATACTATGAAATAAAAAGGAAATATATTTAAAATTCACAAAAAAGGAAATAAGGGTGCGGACGTCAGGATGACGTCAGCGCCCGGCGAACGCGAATCAGGCGGAAACAGAGTTCCGCCCGGCGATTCTTACGTAGGCGATTACAGACGACTCAATTAATCAAATTAAGATCTGTAAAAGCCGGAAGAATCGTAATTGAACGAAGTATAGTTTGGTAAATAAAAATCAACAAAGTATCACTAAATGATGCGTAAATTAAATTGAAAGCAGGAAAACAGAGTTCCGGCGTCACGACGGCGATGCGTCGGCGATGCACCGGAATCCTGAGCGTTCGGGAGGGTCGTCGTGCAGTGTCCACGGCCTCGAAGGCTCTCCTTGGACAAAGACGACGTGGGCAATCTCTAGATAAAGCAGGAAAACAGAGTTCCGGCGTCGCGACGGCGACGCGTCGGCGATGCACCGGAATCCTGAGCGTTCGGGAGGGTCGTCGTGCAGTGTCCACGGCCTCGAAGGCTCTCCTTGGACAAAGACGACGTGGGCAATCTCTAGATCTTCTCGCGAAGTCTAGAGACCAATGAAGTGGGTCGTCGAATCGTCTCCGGCGGCTGTCACCCGGCGGAGCGGAAAAACGGCGACTTTGCGGCTCTCCGGCGGCTGTCACCCGGCGGAGAGGGGCTGGATGGAGGTGAGGCGCGTGTTAGGGAGCTTCATCCTCAGGTCCGCGCAGCAAGAGGAGGCTCTTCATCGCATCTGGTACGCTCTCAGGAGGTGGCGACTGGTCTCCCGGCGGATCGTCCTCTTCCCGACGACGGCTTGTTCGTCGATCAATCGGAGATGATTTACTCGATGGATTGCGATCCTTTTATCGCGAATCGTTCAGAAATTTTAGTAGCAATGCTCCGCGAATCGCGTTGACGAGATTTTCGCCGATGATCCAGCGATTCCGGTTGCTTAATCCTTCACCGGCGATCTGCAGGAAAGTCGCGATAATCAGTTAAAAATATATGAATTTTGACTCTGGGAGGATTCGAACCCGCGGCGGTCGCCCGGGCCTTACAAGGTGGATTTAGTCCCACATTGGTTGTGCGCGGATTATTCGGGCGAATATATAGTAAAGTTAGCTTTCTAGGCAAAGTCCTCTCGCGTGTACGACCACTCCTTGCCCCACAGCCGGCTGACACCGGTGAGGTGGAAGGGGGAGTGGCGCACACGTGCCCCTATCGATTTAAGCAAGCCGCTCTAGCCCCTGCTCGCGGCTACTCCCCGACTGCGCTTCCGACCCGCTTGCGGGCCCGGCTGGCCGGCGGATCCCCCCATTTTGCAATATTTTTAATTTTATTTCTTGTTCTTCATTTATCTCAAAACTAAGACTGTAAAAATCGTATAAAATCACATAATTACCCAAAAATTCACGTTAATCAACTGAAAACCACTTTTCATGCTTTAACACAAATATAAGTCTATTTATCATGAGTTAAGGCTAAAACTATATTATTTACTAATTATTAAATCATGATAATGAAGACTTATCACTTATATTCTATGATAAATTATTTTTTTTTGA